GAGTACCGGAACTTCCAGGCTTGTCTGCATAACTCTTGGATTGAGCAGGCAGCAGCTGCCCTCGAGATTGAACTAGAAGAAGATATGTATAAAGGTCAGCCTTTGGGCTGGGTGGGAGCAGAGGAGGGGACATTCGGGTTTTCTTTCTTTTCCCTTTAACTTTGACATTTTATATTAGAACTTTCTTTACTACTGTGGGTCCTGTCAGAGCTAGCTAAAAGCTCTTTCATATTTTGCTAATGACCCCTAATCCCTACTGAGCCTAATGCCCTTTATTCCCTCCTTGTCTTCTGTCCTGTTTGGAGCCCTTGGCTACCTCTTTCTCACAAGGATGAGCGGCAGAGTCAAGTGCAGAGGCGGGTACCCTGGCCAGACTGCCATGTTCAGTGCTAGCTCATTTCCTTAGCCAGCTCTGTGACCAAGTCGGATTATTTAACCTCTCAGCTGTACCTCTGCTTTCTTACAAATTACCTGCCTCCTGGGGTTATAAAGATGATTGAAGGATATCAAGGGTGTACGGTGGCAGTAAGCTGTTCTACCTTCTCAGCTGACAAAGCACTTCCATATCATTATCTCAACTCCATTGTCATGAAAGGAACAGAGCAGGAATTATTGTCTTTTGTATGAAGCCACAGAGAAGGGATTTATGCAGTGAAACACTGCCACCACCAGGCACTGCCTGGGCCTTACTCTACGGGGACAGTGTTTCAGGGATGAGTCTGCATGGTCCCTGCATAGGAAAGAGTGAACCACATCTGCCACTTATGGCACCGGCGTTATGGCCAGTGCTATTTCTGCCCCGTGGTGGATGCCTGTGGCATTATTGGCATCTTCGGGCCAGAGCCAGCAAAGTCAGGGTTAATGCGTGCTGCCCGCTCAGCTTGGGAGCCAGGAGCCAAGGCAGAGGCTTGATGTGAGTAGCTCAGGCCTGTGGCTTGGGTGAAGATGTGGGGGGCTGAGAATGGGGATGAGGGAGCCCCTGGCTGAGCCTCCCTGTGCACATGCAGTCTTGGCACTGCAGGAGAGCTGAGCTGTAGGTAGGTGTTGGTTGTCTCCTGAGGGATTTTTAGGTGTCAGTTTGCCGAAGTCCCGGGGGAACACAGGCAGCAAGTGGACACAGACGGAAACCTGACCTTCAGTCAGGTACTTGACCACTGGCTCTGTGGTCTAAGCCCAAGCTCCCTCATCTATAAAATGAAGATGGTTTCTGCCTTTGAAGTTTTCATATGGTCTTGCATATCCCTCCTAATGTTTACGGTTCCACCAAGCCACCATTAGCTTCTACAGATGGCTTTCGAACCCTGCCTCCCAAAAGTAGCTCTAAAAGTCTGTCTTAGCCATTAAAGGAAACAAAATGTTTCTGCATACAGTCAGTTTGATCTTTACTACATCCCTAGGAGGAAAAGTAGACCAGCAAGAAGAGCGTCGGCGACAGAAGCAGATGAAGGTCCTGAAGAGAGAGCTGCACCATCTGCTTTCCCAGCCATTGTTCAAGGACCACCTCAAAACCAGGTACCCCACTCAGTCCGGCAGGCCTCCTCTGCCCATGGCTGCCCCGAAGAATGGCGAGTCTGCATTGAGCTGCCTCTCCAGACAGAAGAAGAAACCCAGACGACAGCAGCAGCAGGGACCACCGCAGCCAAGTACAAGTGCACTGTGATGGCTGCAGTCAGCTGCAGTGGCGCCTGCACGGTACTGTCAGTTCTCTGCTGATCTGTGAATCTCTCACTCCACCACTCTCATTAAGAAAATCTGCTCTTCCACCCTGTAGCAGGAGAGACCCCATGCAGATTTGTGTTGTGCAGTAAGAATTCTATGCAGTACCTTCCTCTTTGTATTCCAGAGTTTGCAGGCTTCTTGTGTGTTCAGCTTGTTCTCTTGAATTAAAAACAATGGTCAGAGCCAGAGTGTCATCCTGGTATTTGTGGCCAGAAGTTGGGGATATGGGCAGTGTGTTTCCTCAGTAATGGCACTGCAGGTCCCTGGATAGGGCGGGGATAGTGTCACAGGCTCTGGCTGCAGGTTGCCTAGTGCATTGCTTCCAGGTCCTCAGCATGTGCTCTGCCCGTGCCATGGCCCAACCCACTCTACTCCACACCCTGGAAGAATGGGTTCCTTGCATGCATTCAGTCCCAAGAATTCATGCACCTGTTTGCAGAACAGGCTCTTCCCAGGGCCTGGGACGCCTTTGCTGCCCCCACCCTGGGGGAGTGCTGTGCCCTGAGGGGTGACAGTGTGCTTCCTGTGAGCCTCAGTGCACCTGCTCACAGTTCTGCATAGCACTGGCCATACTGTCCTCTTGGCTGAGCTCTGGGCTCAGGCCCTCAGGGCAGAGTGCTGAGGAGCAAGCAGTCTGCTTGCCATGGGCTGCATGGGTGAGCAGCCACAGCTGCCACACCAGGAGCCCAGGCTTCTGCACAGCTGTGTAGATTTTGAGAGGTCCACATGGGACATAGTGCAGCTGCATGGTGCAAGGGATCCTGTGGGTGTGAAGAGGTTGCACATGTGGACTCCCCCATCACACATACATGGCCCACAGGAGAGTGGTGTTGCTCTTGGGTGTACGCCAGATAGCCAACATTAAGAAGCCAGAACAAATTGTTCTTGGAAACTATTTTAATACCAGGAAGCTTCAGCTGCTGCCCTGGGAGCAGGCACTCTTAGTACTGACAGTGCTGCCTGCCAGGAATGGTGGGGTGGGGAGGGCGTTCTGTGTGCAGAGCACTCACAGTGTGTCAGGTGTTACAGCTGTCTTCACACAATCTCCAGGAGAAGCAGTCAGCTTATAGTATGTCTGTTCCACACAGATGGTGTGTGGAGCTCAGAGGCAAAGTAGCTTAGCCAAGGTCACACAGCTAATGGAAAAGCGGAGATTTGAACTTGGGTATTTGGCTCCAAGCCCTTTTGTTTGTGCTTAAAATAGGAACCTAGACCAAAGCAAAACCAACCAGGCCAACTCTTTCTGTTGCTAAATTTTTCCAGTGCTTATTTCTTTTGGAAAGAAGGCAATATACAGGCAGTTGTAAAGACAAGCCCTCAGAATCTTTGGTATGGAAAGAGCTGGGTCTGTGGTGTGGGGGGCAGTTACCCAGGAAGGGGCATCCCCGGCACAGCTTGCTTCTGGACATGGTGCTTGGATTTTAGCAGTCCTGCCACTTGCTTCCTCCATGGTGCCTTAGGGACTCTGTCTGAAGGCACACTTGGGGAATTAAAGGCAAGGCTTGGATTTGTTTCAAAAGGAGAAAAACAGCAGGGGAGAGGATGAAACCAACACGCATGTCTCTGCCTGGGTGTGCGCATCCTAGCCTTGACTGACACTTAGGAAGGTGGGCCCGTGGGAGGGCATCACGGGAGAGTGTCTCCAGCAGCTCTCCAGAGAACTCCACTTGGCCACAGATGCACAGAGGAGCAGCCAGTCACCCGTCTGCAGTGCCTCAGAGTCCCAAGGAAGGGCCCAGGGCCCATTCCCCTACCTCTCAAGAAGGCCCAGGGAAGGCATCAGACAACGTCTGGGTGTTCATACACTTCATTTTGAAAGTGGATGCCCTGGAGACATGTCCAGACCCTGACATTCCTGCCAATAGCAGGATGGGACACTGAACATATCCTGAGGTGAGGATCAGGTTTATATTCCTGTAGGAAAGCTTGAGCCCTATGGACCCAAGGCCAGTGAGGGCAGTGTGGGAACTAGGATTCCTGCTTGGAAGTAAATCACCTGACAGAGAGTTACTGGCTTTCACCAGGGGAGATCTGTGGCAGCAAGACTTGGACTCAGCTATCCAGTTCTGGGCACAGACCTGTGTCAGTCATAGCACCAAGAGATTCTAAGAAATCCCTGCAGAATGAAACTGGTGAGAAGGTGGCCTTCAGTTATGGAAGGGATGCAAGGGTGTCCACACCTTGCATTATCCATGTGCTCCTGTGGAGGAAATCTGCGGAGGAGAAGTGTTGCAGCTCAGGCAGTGTCTGGATCCATCAGGGCCAGGCTGCGTGCCAACCCAGGCAGGCAAGGTGGGTGAGGAGGTTCTTGAAGGGGACCTGTGCATATCGATGGCTGAGGAAGCTGCTGGCCTGGCAGTTGTCACCAGTGGAAATCTCACTCACTGCCCATTTCCATGGCTTATCTCTGCTCTTTGCCAGCTATGAAGAGCAGAGAAGGAAAGGGACGAACAAGCTGAGACAGGCTTGCAAAAGATCCACTTTGCTCAGCTGGAGTCCACAGCTGCATGGGCCTCTACCCAGCCGAGCGCCTAGACTGTACCTCTGACCTGCAGGGGCTGACAGGGACAGCTGCAGTCTCCTGGTCCCAGACATAAGTACGGTACAGGCCCTATTCCCTGTGAGCCTTTATCCGGGAGGGGCCAATGGCAGGCAGCAGAACCTGGAAAGGCCCACCCTCCAAAAGTCAGGCCCTTCTGGCCCTGAGGTAGAGGGGCCCCAGCAACCTGAGCTTGCTTCATGCTGAAGGCTAAGGCCCTTTTCTGGACTTTGGCATAAAGGTCTCAAGTGAGGGGTGGGAAGGTGCCCCATGAATGAAGCCACCCACCAAGGACCAGCTCCACGTATGACTGGACCAGACATCTTCACAGATTTGCTGTTGCTTGAGTCAGACAGCTGGCCTTGAGCTTTCTTCCCCCTGCAGAGGAGGGGCTGTGCTCCTGGAGAGGGGAAACCAGAGGTCCCCATTTTCATATAAGAGGCTCCTTCTCCAGGTAAGTAAACAGGTCCAGTGAGAGTAGGTGACCCACATCGGGTCTCACAGAACTGGGGTACACAGCCAGGGGTTCTGGCTTTCCAGCCCAGAATTAGAAGGCATTTGATGCTCCATCAAAGTAAATACTAAAAGTACCACCAGTTACATTAGTCCATAATGGGCAAGTCTTGTTTCCAGCGGCTCTGCCCAAAAGGCTGTCTGTTTTCTAGCTATTGATTACTTAAAAAATAGAAAAGCTGGAACGTTCCATTTAGAATGCAGTTCCGTAAGGTGACAGGTTCCACTTCGTGACCTAAAATTAATGTTTATCAGCTGCATAAAGGATATTGTAGTGGGATGTTTTATAGAGCAGATAAACAGAAGGGATGGCAGCCTCGGGGAACACGTGGTGGTTCAGGGCGGTGTCCATCTCGTCCACGTACTCCACCTGCAGGGCGATGTTGAGTGCCTGGGACAGGGCTGTGATCTGGATGTGGTCACACTCTGTGGCCATGGGCTCCACTTCCTGCAGAGCCAGGGTGAAAAAAACAAGCCAGCTTAGGCCCCGCAGGCAGCAGCCTGGGTGGTGGTCACAGTCTCCTGGGAGGTGTCTTCTCAGCCAGCTGCGAGGCCAGGGGCTGAGATGCTTATTTCACAGGGGCAGGCTCCAAGGGAGCTAGACACTAGAAACCACTGGGGCTGCAGAAACTCAATGTGCAACTCTTTTATTCCAGGCCCTAATCTGGAATAAGGCAGGAACATTGCACCTGGCACCACACAGAGCCAAACGGGACCCTGCCAGGGAGTGAATCCAAGAGACCAGGGGGTCAGTGAGTGACCAAGTCTGGATCCAGAAGAGACCACGGAGAGGGGCAGACCTGGGGGCAGTTGTGGTAGCCCACAGATGGGGTGCTATTTAGGGGGTGCTATTTAGGGTGTGCTGATGGCCACCAGCCTAGGTTCAAGGTCTAGTGGCCTTGATCTAACTTTTTAAAGAGATACCCAGATATTCATTTGAAAATCACCCAGTTTTTGGATGATGGCCACTCCTTCTGATTAACAATATTGAAAACTTCGGGGCCAGGGAGATGGCTCAGTGGAATAAGTGCTTCCCTGGCAAGCACAGGGCCCTGGTTCCGCCAAAAAAAAAAAAAGGAAAACAATACTGAAAACTAAAACACATCTCAGGACAAATCAGACAGAGCTGCTGCTCTTTACTTTCATACAAGGACCAGTCTACAGTCTGGATTTTCCAGATGGGAAATCTCCAGGGAGGGGAAGTGGCCTGTCCGAAACATGGTTGAACGGCAAGTGTGACACCCAACATCTGGCTAAGGATGGTGGCTAAGCTGTAGGAGACCAACAAGAGCTGGGGTTGCATCCCCACAGCCCGAGCCCAGTAGAACCTACATGAGTGCAGAAGTCCTTGATATCCATCTCCTCATCAACAAAGTGTCGGAAGAAGTCGGCACGGTTCCTGATGAAGGCTGATGTGAGCAGACGCAGGAACTGCACGATGCGGTCAGAGAAGCTCTGGTCGTTGAACACCTTGAGCAAGCTGGACACAGAGCCGTCCTTCTCTACCAGCTCTACCACGCTGTAAAACTGCACGCCACTGGCCATCAGCAGGGAACAACCCAGCAAAAGCCACCCTATCTGCTGAGATGTCCTCGGAATACTCATTTTGAGATCCTAGGGTAAAGGAGCTCAGAATTCCTTCATCACCCGTCAGCGGGGGAGGGAAGGGATGAAGGAGGTGTCTCCTCCAGAGTGGTGCAGGGCCCAGGTACCCTGAGTGCCCCAGTCCCCGGCAGGTACCAGCCCTGTCCTTCTCTATCCCCGGGGGAGGAAAGGGGAAACATGTTCAGCTGAGGACTAGGGCCTGGAAGGCCTTTTTCCACTCTGCTCTGCCCACATGGAGGGCCCTGGGTCTCAGCCAGCATGGCCCTCTTGAACTCACAGCATTAAAGAAGTTCTGGAACTTGTGCTCCTCAAAGCCAGCAGCCAGAAGGTCGTTAGGCGTCTGCAGCACGTGCTCTTTGAACCTGCAGAGCAACAGACAGGGTGGTCACAGAGGGATCAGGGGCATCCCATAGTGAAGGGGCCATGTGAGCAGCAGGTGAAGCGCTTTTTGCCGAGTGCATCCACCCCCATGCCAGCAGGCTACTCCATCCACCCTGCTGTGAATCAACCCAGGAGGCGCTCATTACAGCTCCTTCACAGACAAGGAGGGGGGATCATAACCCACTCCCTGGCTGCTGGTCCTGCTTTCCGGAGGTCTCCTGACCCTGTCCCTCCTCCGTGCCCATGGTCTCTGCCTTCTCACATCCTCTGGCCTGGACATGTCCAGCTTCCCTTCTCTTACCTTGGCCACGGGGACCCCAGAGTGACAGCAACACTCTGGCCTCCACCCCCAGCACAAAGCATTCCGAGGGATGTCAGCACCTCATCTCCAACTGACCAGCAAGCGCCCAACCATACAGAGCAGCTCCGGGGATGGGCTCCTAGCCACAGCTGGCTCAGACCCCCTCATCGCCACCACTACACGTCTACATTTTCAGGAATTCTCCTAGCCAGGTGGTAACACAGCCACTAGGAAGACCCAAATGGGCTGGATATGGAGGCACATTGAGAATAACCCAGCACTTAGGGTCACAGGAGGATCACAAACGAGTTCTAGGCTAAGGTAGGAGGATGGCAAGTTCAAGCCCAGCCTAGGCAGCAAAACAACTTCATGATACCTTATCTCAAAATAAAACTACTTTAAAAGGGCTGAGGGTGTAGCTCAGGGTGGAGGCCTTCAGTTCAATCCTCAGTACAACAAAGCAAAAGCAAAACACCAAAAGGTATAAACTGGCAATGGAATAAAAAATAAATATACCAAAAAACAAACATGATAAAATACTTGAAATTTGTTATTTTCTATTATTCTGTATTATGTACACTCTCAAGATCACATCTGCTGGGAATGCAAAGTGGGAATGCTGTAAAGATTAAAGTGTGTGGCATTTGGGTCTCTTCCTAATTCTGTGCTCAGTGACCTCATGCTGGTATCTGGAAATCAATCATGACAGGAGTATTTACATTGCAGGAATTGGCAAGCCCCACGAGTCAGGCCTCTCTGCTGTTTAACATTGTTAGCACTTACCCACCTTTCTAGGCCCACCCAAAGGTCCCTCCTTTATGAATTCTGCCCCAGTGAACAGCCCCTTCCTGGGACTGGGACCTGTATCCCTGCCCTTGAGGGCCTGGCATGGAACCCCAGCCTGGGTCCTGCTTCCAGGACCTAGCGCTCGGTGGCAGAGACAGACACAGATCTAAACAACTGGGCTGCTGCCATCTGCTGCCAGGCACAGGAAGGACAAATGGGCAGCACTGTGGGGCCACTGGCACAGCCACTGAAAGGCTGGATGAGACAGAGACAGACAGACTAGTTTCACAGAGGAGAATAAGGTCACAAACCCAGACTATGTGTGAGTCCATGTCTCTGAGGAAGAGAGCCAGGCCCCTATTCAGTCCCCCAAGAACTTTGAGCCCCAAAGAATCAGGGCCAGTTGTGTCTCGGCTCCCTGATGCTTAGTGTGGCCGAAAGCCCAGCAGCGCAGAACCTCAGAACCACTCAAACCTAAGTGATCAGGAACCTAACAAGCTCGCCAGGACTCCTGAAGTGTCCCAGTGAGCAGGCCCTAGACTGACTGAAGCACCAAGGGCTAACGTCAGGTCACTGTGGCAGACCCTGGACTACACGCCTCCAAGCCCAAAGTCAGCTGCAATGATCCAAAGCACTGAGGTAAAGCTTTATTGCTGTTTTCCGCATGCAGTGAGTCACCAAGTAGGTGCCCAGTGTGCCTTGCCTGGGCAACAGCCCTGCCAGCAACCGCCACTCACCTGAGGACCTCCCTGCTCTTGCCCAGCAGCGACTCAAGGTAGGAATAGCCCAGGGCCCGGTAGAAGCAATTGCCATCCCCTTTGGTCTTGCGGATTGCAGCGAATCTTTTGCTGAGTTCCTGTGGGAAGGGAAGGACATGTGGGCCCTGAAGTCGCATTGCTGTCATGGGGGCCTGGTGCTGGCCTGGCCACGGGCCCCAGCTATGCCTACCCTTGCCCCTCAGTCTCCCCTACTCTCACTCATTCAACAAACACACTGACTGGCCTGGCGTCCGGCAGGGAGGACTGCGGCACTGTCTCTAGGCAGCCTACAATCGGGAGGTGGCAGGTGATTAGATGATGGTGACTCAACAGGGTACCACGAGGCAGGGGGTCCACACTAGGCTCCAGAAGTCAGGGAAGGACTTCCTGGAAGAATGGGCTGTCAAGAAGTGGCAGCTGGCAGCAGAGTGGGGTATGTACGCACGGGCACGTGTGTGAGCAGATGGCACGGGCCAGTAGGCAGGAGCCTCCCAGGCTGACTGAGCATTGGGCAGTCCTACTGTTTCTCAACAGGATGAGAAATGGCCACGCTGCACCCCGAGCCCCCCTCCTAGCAGCCAGTGTCCCTCTCCCATGGCTGGGGTCTCCTGTCCTGTCTTGTTTTGGCAGAGGAGGATGGTTTTAGCCCTGGCTTCTATCACAGATGAGAAGGCCCAAGCACCAAGGCAGGCTGGCTGAAAGAAGCAACACTGGCGACATGACTTGGACACCCCCAGCCCCTGCTCCTGCCCCAGCAGCCCTGTGTGGGTCTCAGTACACCAGCACCTCCACCTGGCACACTATCTGACACCTGCCCCATGTGGAAGTCTCGGGATAAGTTGAGGCAGAGGCTGTGCCCTGTGTCGTGAGGACCCTGAGGAGCAGCTGCGGCAGCACCGTGCATCTGCGTGGAGCTGGCCTGTCCCGCCCAGGTGCACAGCAGGGCAAAGGCACTGCCAGAGAGGCAGCCCGCGCTCCCACAAGTGATCCGCATGGGCCCTGCAGCAACTGCCTTGTCCTGCGAGGTCCCACAGTGCAGAGCTCAGGAAGCAGCCCATGAGGTCAGGCTGCCTGGGTTCAAAGCCCAGCTCAGCCACTCAGCTACTGTGCCTCAGTTTCCTCAGCTGTGAAAGGGGGATAATAGAAGTCTTTGCCTCAGAGTTGTAATAAGTTCCAATGAGTAAAGGAAGCTCTTAGAATCACGCTTAGCTTTTGATTTTTTTTTTCTTTCAAGAAAAGGATGAAAATTTCTTGTTGAGCACAGGCCAGCATCAGAATATTCTGGGAGTGCTATCGTTGGTCCAGAAACCTGGTTTAAACTCTGAGCCTTCAAAATGGCACCTGCCCCTGTGCATCCAGTTCCATTTTGCTGCTTTTAGGATCCTAAGCTCCCCACCTTCCGCCTCACCTGGATTTTCCTCTGGTAAATCCTGTTTTCGGGGTGATCCCGAAGAATTGATAGAATGTCACATTTTTCTGATATCAGGTTGAAAGATGTATCACTCTGAAAGACAGGGAAAGAGGAAACGCCGTGGGTTCACCCAGCTGATGGTCTCACCCCGAGCACAAATGACACCTGTGAGCACGGGACCGGCTTCCCAGATGCCTGCCCAGACGGGCATGCACCCAAACAGGCCGGTCAGCGTCGGTACCATCAGTGTCCCTGCTTACGGAAGCCTGTCCTGCAGCCTGCAGACTGACTCACCTCACAAAACACGATGCCTCAAAGCTAATGAATCTTAATGCAGATTCGTCCCTTTGTCACCTTCTGCCCTTCCTGTCCCACTCACTCATTTACTCACGTACCAATTCCTGAAGATCCAGCCTATGCCAAGCATAGCACTGCATGCTGGGAATGGAGCTAAGAACGCTCTGCGCCCCTCCACTCTAGCAAGGCTCACCGTCTAGAGAAAAACACTGATGATGCCAGGTAACAAGGTCGGACCAGAGGAGACCTCCCTGTGCGGCACTGGAGGAAGGTCGGAGGGCGGCATGGGAAGGGTGCTGAGATCGGAGTTTGCAGAGCTGACCGGCAATGGAAGGGTACTCTGAGACCCACCTGTGGGTCGAGGTGACATGTGACCCAGCTCTGAGTGAAGGTCACATTCAACCCAGAGAGGTCAATGTGCCACAGTCAGGGTCCCTCCAGGTCTGAACTCAGCTGGCAGCAATGAACCATGGCAAGTGAAGCTCTAGGCCCTGGCACACTGCAGGAGACACCTGTGTGGACAGCCACCTCCCTGAAAGCCCTGGCTCGGCCTTGGCTTTCCTGCCACCCAGCAGGGCACAGAAAAGTGGATGATGTGTCCCCTCTTCCAACCTGCCCCTCATGTCAGCACGGAAACAATACAGAGGAAGATGTTCAAGCCACTTGTGGTTTAAAATAAAGGGAATCCTACATGTACATGAAGCCTAGGAAGACAACTTCAGGCAGATGCACATGGCTGAAAGGCTGCCCTGAACCCCCCAGTCTCTTATGCCATCGTTCGTTCTTGGCACAGAGCTTTGGCTGCAGCTCCTCTCTCCCTGGATGCCTTGGGCCACTGCAGTCTGTCCCACTGGCCCCTTGGCAGACTCGCTGCTGATCCCAGCTCCCACCCAGCACCCAGAGGGGCCTCTGAGGTCACAAACCTCATCTCCACTGTCTCTGAGGGAGGAATATCCCTGTGGCTTTGAGAGTTAGTTTCCTCCTGGGGTCCAAGGCAGAGAGTTGAGACATAGAGTGAGGCCTTAGTGGCTTTAGGGTCACTTCTGTCTCCACAAGGGACAGATTCTGACCTTTCTAATAATGACTGTCTCTGGCCCCGATTCCAGAACCTAGCATCAGGGCAGGGGAGAGACGATGGGACTGGGAAGGGGCACCCCTAGGAGGCATGTGTGGCCTTACCTCCCAGTCTCCAGTGCCACAGGGCAGGGCAGCAGGTCCTACATCCACCATCCCCAGCCACCTGTCTGACTGCCCAGGGCCCACCACAGAGCCAGGCATGGAGGGCAGATGAAATGTTTGTTAAGTGAACAATAAACACTACCCCCTCCATAGTCTCCATGGTCCCGTAACCATGCTGAGCCAGGCTTGGGTGCTCCATGAACTCATACTTCAATCCTCTTTTCCCCTTCTGGGAGTCCCACAATGCTCTCCCCTAGACTTAGGAGGGAAGAGAGGCAAGCCAGCTTCCCAGAGGAAAATCACCATAGAGAAGAAGCTGTTGTCCCAAGGACAGGAGAAAATGTGCTTATGAAACGGGACCTATGTATGCATGTTTGGGGTGGGGATGACAGATTCTGGGTTTGACTTCTAGAAGTTTCCATTCCCTACCCAACTTTCTTCACAAAACTAAGTCAGCCTCAGGCTCCCTACTCATCTGCCCCAACACCACGGCACAGGGTGGCAGCTGGGCAACCCCCAGAGGAATCAGACAACTGCTCCAGGCTGCCTCCCCATCCACGGGTACCCATTTCTTCCACACTAACAACCCCAGCTGTACTCCAGGCAGAATATGAAAATGATGGTAAAGCATGACAGTCCTACATCCTTCCCACTCATCTTCCTGGCCTGCCTACAGCTACAGGTGGCCATCTACCCAGAACTGGCCAACAGACCCTTGGGAAGTCTGTCAGGGCCCCTGGGAACCTGTGGCAAGAACAGGGACAGCAAATTCTATTCCTTCCCCCCTTAAGTGAGATGCGACTTCTCTAGAGCAGCCACCCAATTACCACAAGGGTGGAAAGCAACATAGAGAGGGCAGTTTGATGATCTCTTGCTACCCTAAATCCCAGATCCATGAAGTCGTGACAGGAGCCATTATCATGCACTTACTGTATACCAAACTCTGGGACACAGGCCCACACATCTATTATCTCTTTTAATCACCACAGCAATCTTGTGAGGCTGGCATTTTTATACCCATGCCACCAACAATGTTGGTGCCCTTGTGATAGCAGTGAGCAGCTCTGAAGCCATGCAAATTCAACCATGCCCAGTTCTGGGCATGCAAAGCCCAGAGTCCAGCAGCTCTTGAAGGGTCAAGGCTGCCGGACCACAAAAGAATGTTCTGTACAGGGTGGGTGGGCTTCTCACCAGCAGGCTGGGTCCCAGACACAGACAGCCCAGGCTCCCTCCAACTCCTGCTTGGGAGCTCAGGGTCCCCAAGCCTGGGAGAGGGTCATCATAGCGGATCAGGAACCAATCCTACTGATGCGCAGGCACAGCATTAAGACACTGCAGGCTGCAGGCATGTGCAAGGCCCTGGGGTTGCATCCCCAGCAATAAAACAGACATCTGCGACATGGGGAGGAGAAGTCTCTTCCACTTCCTTCAAGCCTGCAAAAAAGATACCTGGCTTCTTTACCTGGAACTGCTTTCTACTCAGTCTCCCTTTTGATGTCGAAGTAGACCCCTGATTTGCAGCTTAAAATTGCCTCATTCCTATCTGCAGGCTTTTTAAACTTACAAGCAAGCTTTACCAACTTCAGTGGAATGTGTATAAAATGTTTACAGGTTTTGATCTAAATCAAGGAAAACTGTCATTATTAGCATAATAAACAACAGTCACAGGTGTGCAGTCAATTTTGTGCTCACACTGAGGGCTGATGCCACAAATATGTGTGGGACCCCGGTAGCTTCAGTCTTAATGTCCCCCTCCTTGAATGGACCTCAAAGGGGCCCCTGGGCACACTGGAAGGCACAGGACCAGCTGGGCAGTGCCCCTTCATCTTGACTTCATTCCGAGCCTCATCAGATCAATAGCAATGTATTTGGACTTTATACAAGTCTTGTTTTGGTGGAGAGGCAGAGAGCTGACTTAAGTTACAGCTTGAGGCTCTGAAAGCAATGGATTAAAAAGCAGAACTGCCGTATCTAATGCCACTTGTGCTTGAACTGGCACAAACAAGATAAAGCAGACCTCCCCAAATGTCAGGGGCAGGGAGTTCAGGAAGGACATAAAGCTGCATCTATTTACTTGGCAGATGCTGAGGAAGTATCACTAGAAATGTGGAAAAGAGCTTAAGGAGTTAACCCTAAATAGCTAGAAACTAGCCCTTCCCTATAGGAAGTCCCCATCACTTGTCACAATGAGGTACCTTGACAGGTGGTCAGGAGAAAGGCGACGTAGCAGGAGCCTACGCAGGTCCTCCACTCGCCATCCTAGCAGAAACTGCAGTTCGCAAATTCACTTATGCTATTTGACGCTAACGCATACACACCAGATAGCAGTGGGAACCCCAGCTCCCGCCCACCTTCCTTCGTGCGCCCCCTCAGTTTATCCCTTTGTCCCCCGCTCTCTGCTCTCGTTCCTCCATTCGCCAGCCCACCACACCTCTCAGGTTTGTCTCTCCATATCCATTTGTCTTCTAAAATTATCATGATGAAACACATTACACGAAATACACTGTTTTAACCATTTTTACTGCAGGACTCAGGGGCACTGAGCACAGTCACACTTGTGCGGCCATCGCTACTCTCCATGTCCAGAAAGACACCTTCGCAGTCTAAAGCTCTGTCCCCATTGTACACCACCTCCCTGTGTCCCCCTGCCCCAGTCTCTGGCTCGGGTTTTCTCCATGATCTTTATGAATTTGACTAGAGACCTACAGCCCATTATGCATTCATAGAAATGGAATGCAGCTATCTTTTTAAAGTTTTTATGTGTTTGTGTCTTAAGTGAACATACACATTATTCTCTAGATACTGTGGCTCTTCTTGGCTCAATACTACTTAGGATCCACCTTCCTGCCAAGTGGCGAGGGAAGAGCTCCGCCAGCCACTGGAGATGAAACCTTGGGCTTTCAAGCGCCCCCTAGTGGTCTCAACTGTGTTTACTGGGGCATGTGGATGAGGCAACCTTGGCCCTTCAAGCTTGAATAGCACACCCCCAGGACGACCCTAAGGCCTAATCCACCTTCTCGCTCTCTCTCTCTCTCTCTCTCTCTCTCTCTCTCTCTCTCTCTCTCTCTCTCCCTCCCTCCCTCTCTCCTCTCTCCCTCTCTCCTCTCTCTCCTCTCTCCTCTCTCCCCCCTCTCCCCTCTCTCTCTCCTTTCTCTCTCCTCTCTCTCCCCTCTCTCTCTCTCTCTCTCTCTCTCTCTCTCTCTCTCTCTCTCTCCTCTCTCTCTCTCCCTCCCTCCCTCTCTTCTCTCTCCCTCTCTCCTCTCTCTCTCCCTCTGTCCTCTCTCCTCTCTCTCCTCTCTCTCTCCTCTCTCCTCTCTCTCTCAGCCATGTCTCCCACCCCCACCCCAGGCCCCGTCACCGAACCTGGGGCACACGCTCCAATCGATGGCTCATAAATCAGGAGCAGTGCTCTGGGCCTGACCTCAGCTGGTGTTAATTGGTATTTGCTTTTAAAACCCAGGCTGTGAAAATTTCCAGGAAGTTATGGAGAAGAAACAGAGAGGCCACACCTGATCATCCTGCCAGAGCTAATCAGGCCACATGAAAGAATTTTAGCTCTTTAATTGCTGGTTTGGAAATATAATTAATTAAGTCAGCACCTCGGCTTGGAAACAGCT